AAAGGGCTGTAAGGCCCAAAGGTGGGGAAAACATAGTCATAAAATAACAATAGAATCCTTGTAGGAGGAGGCAGGTATCAAAGGAGTTCTTGCCGGTAAAATTTACCACCGGCTGGTCCAGAGCTTTATCACTGACCCACAGGCAGTGAGAAACAAGGTTTGTTTCTGGCTTCAGCAGAGTCTGAGACAGTTGGGGCAACTTACTTTAACTTCTTCCCTCTGTATGCAAGGTGAAAACCTTTCTGGCACATGTACTCACGGGGCTGGTGTGACAGTGATGGGCATGCTCTGACTTAAGCTCTGTGGCACTGGTGCACACAGTTGCCAGCAGGGGGCAGACACTCAGCTGCCTGGAAATGAACTCTCCCACCACAGGGTCTTTGACCAAAGCAACAAAAGCAAGTAGTCCAGGAGGGTAACTCCTACCTACGTTACTTATACATACCACTCTCCAGACACAAAAGATGAGGTTGCTTACATGATACACACAAAAAAGAGAAAAACATAAATGACAAACCAGGACCCTAGAAACATTTAAATCACATAGAAAATGAAGATGGGAACTACATTAGAACTACGATCTGCAAGTAAGATTCTTTTCCGTTTCTAAAAGAGAGCCATGGATTTGGCTCAGAGCCTCTTGATCAAAAGGGGAAACACATTCAATTACTGAATCATATGAAGAAAACCTGTCAGTTATTCAACAAAGGTTTTCTGATACCTAGTTATAAAAGAAACATCTGGCCAGTTAGAATGGCAAGTTAAAAACAGCAAGATTCATACGTGCACCGTTTCTCAGAGTGAGGAGCATCTGATGAAATCCACAATTGTGACACCAAAGCATGAGTGAAAATCAATTCCTGGCAGGAATGTCCAAGAGCTCAGCCTTCTTATGGTTCAGCCTAATACAAAGATAAAATCTAGAATCCCAGCAAAAAAACCTGTCCTTAAGCAATCCTCTGTGATTGCTTAGAAATGAACCGGGCAACCAGGTGTTTAAAAAAATCTGGGCAATGGGAAGTTTAAGATTATCATCTATGGCAAGTGTCTAAAATACAGGTGTTCTGTGTTGTAAATAGTGACATTTTACTACAGAATAAGTGAACAGATAGTGACATGCTTTTGAGAAAACCAAGTTGCCCAGCCATGATACATTGCTTTCTTCAATGCAGAAGTTACTCAAAGAAACCAAAAAACAAAACCTCTAGATAATAAGATTAGATCCAAAAATCAAGTTTCCCCGAAGAGAAAAATCCTGGGATTCTACCCTCACCCTCTGCATCCACAGCCCCTGTCCTAACTCAGACACATGGCATCTCTCCACTCAGCTTTTCCCGTCCTCCCTTGCTCCATCCAACTGAGCCAAGATCAGCTGAACTAAGCTTTCTCCTGTCCTTCCCCCGCTGTAACATGTGTCACCAGCTCCCCAATCCCTGCCATAGCAAATGCAAACTCCTTACTGAACTAAACAAGGCCTGCATAATCTGGCCCCTGCCTAGCCTCAGTTCTTGCCTCTCCTCACAGACATTCCTTCTAGAATGCCAGTGAACTACCTGCATTCTCCCCAAAACTGTGCCGTGCTCTCTGGTATGTCTTGGAACTCTGCTGAGAAGCTCTTGTTGGTTCCACAGGATTAAGGTACCACCTTCCCTGGGGAACAGCTTTAAATCCTTCCCTTTAAGGTGTTGTTAACGACACTGTGCTCTCACCCACCAGTAGTTTGTTTATGTCCTGTAGCTTACATCGGGATTGGGTTTTAAGTCAGTACCTGAGGCAAGAGTCACCTACATCGATGTTACTCAAGAATTCTCTTAAATCGCACAATATGAGAGAGCAACATGGAAGCCCAGAACAAATGAGGTATCAAGGGACTCACTTTCTACTTCACACTCACGTAGAGTATATGCTGGTGGAATCTCCTGTATTATTTGACAGTTTCACAGTTCTCTCTCTCCTGCTGCCTTCCTCTTCCTCTCTTCATTTGTCCCTCTCTCCCCTCCTTACCAAGTGCTAATAGTTGTATTTGCAGAAATGCAAAATTAACACAACTCCACTGTAGCTACCTGTCTCTCCACACTGAAACTCAATGGGGAGCTCTCTGACGGCATGCGCTCTGCCTTATTCAAATTAGTCTCATGGCTTCCAACACAGTCAGCGCCACAGATATGAGCACTCATGAACCGCAGGGCTTGGGGAAGCTGACAGGTAAGTGTGCACACATGAGGGAATATAGTGTTTCATTTGCAGAGAAACATTCTGGGTCACTATTTCCCCTTGGCTGTGCTTGAGTAGGAGCTGGTATAATCAAATAAGGCTGAAAAGCAGCTATGCCCTTCTTAGGGGTAAATGAGGAATAAGATGAGGAATGAAGACACAGGTGGTGGCATCTGGCACTTCTCACAGTGGCTTTGAGAGAAATAGCTTTGTCCTGGGTGTCCTGGCTCCCACGAAGACTACTCAGAGGATATGTCCTCCCCCACCTCTCCCCATACTCTAGAAAGAGGCCACAATCTGGAAAGGGATGTCTCAACAGAGGTCTCACTTGTTGCCTCCTAGAGGAGGAGTCGGGAATAGACAAATAACATTACTTGCATTCAAGTCAGTGTGGGAAAGCTTGCAAAAGCCCCCCAACAGGGGCATTGGGGGTCGGACTAGCCACCGTCTGCAATGCTTGGATGACATTTTTCTCCAATGCCTTCCCTTGTCTATGTGATCCTCTGCCAAAGTTGTTGTAGGGTTTTTTCCTCATTATAATCTCTAACTTCTGGTTTGCACTTTAAGTGATATATATATATATATATATATATATATATCATAGACAATTTTTCCTATTTCTCATTTTCTTAAGATAGTCTGAATGCTTTTTCTACCCAGTCTTGATCACAACAGTTGAACTTCTCAATCTAAGCCAACCTCAGCAGAGCCTCCTTACCTGTACCCAGTGCTGTTCCTGCCAACCACCAGATGCTTGGGATTGTCCTCACACTTGTAAAGGTTGAAGTCATTCTCAGGTACCAAGTCCACATCATGGAATATAAAGCAGTCCCAGTTTTCTTCCTTGAGAGCTTCTAGATAGCCCACATTCAAGAGTTTGGCGCGATTAAACTTTTTACCTCCAGCCTAGAGATACAAAAATTAAAACTTGAGAAGCTCCTGAGATAAAATTTCATAGTGTTCCCTCTTAGTTAGGATTCAGGAGGTGCCATTATTCTTGCTAACACACAAGACTATACTTGTGACATAAACATCTAACAGGGAAGATGCAATGACAATAAAATACCATTTGGTTTTTTCTTTATGCTTCACACATACTTATATTCCAGAACTAAGGAACATTAATTGAAATTTGAAGAGTTATTGTTTAATGGTAGAGATTTCCAGTTTTGCAAGATTAAGTTCTGGAGACTGATTTCATAAATACACTGCATATATTTATGCAAGTAATATATTGCATAATTATGCACAGATACAATGCATGGAAATATTCTTAACATTATTAAACTGTACACTCAATGGTTAAGACAGTAAAAGTAAATAAAAGTTTAAAAAAGGCTAAGAGGGTAAATTTTATGTCATGTGTTTTACCACAACTTAAAATTTTTTAAACACAGCTTTAAAATACAAATAACTCAAATAATCAATAATAATGTGTTGTACACTTAAAATGTGTTGAGTATAAATCTTAAGTATTCTTACCACAGTTACAAAAAACAATTTCACTTAAAATTTTAAAAACACTTTTATTTATTCCATATAAAACTACAAAACCTTTCTTATATACTAGTCATGTCAATTAGTATTACTGCTTCACAGTTCAACCCTAGGTTAATCCCAGTCTTATCCTCTGTTATGAATTTACACTAAGCTTCTACGAGACTTAGTTAATAGCTTGACAGAAAGGATAAAAAAATCTTGATCTATAAAAAGAGAAGGTTATGGCTAATATTTCTAAGCTACTTTAAAATTTCTTAGAAATCCCTGTAAGAGAATCCTGTTTTAATGCTCATGGTGGAGGTTAATCCTCACAGTGGCCTTAGGGAGACAGATCTGTCACTGGGTAATAAAAGAATGCAGTTCGACCTGTAATATGATTGAAGCTGTAATAAAATAATTTACACTATTTTTTTTATGGCTGCTTTGTTCAAATTCCTTCAGAATGAATTCCAGTTAAATGGTTTATCATAAAAGTACAAGCATTTCTCAGAAGTTACCACAATGTCTTCCTGATAAGAATAACACAAAGCAGACATATTTTTCTCTTTCTTTGTAAATTTGAGATGAAATCTCACCCTGTTGCCCAGGCTAGAGTGCAGTGGTGTGATCCTGGTTCACTGCAGCCTCCACCTCCTGGGTTCAAGTGAATCTCCTGCCTCAGCCACCCAAGTAGCGAGGCCTACAGGCATGCGCCACCACATCCAGCTAAATTTTTTTTTTGTATTTTTAGTAGAGAAGGGGTTTCACCATGCTGGCCAGGCTTGTCTTGAACTGCTGACCTCAAGTGATCCGCCACCCTCGGCCTCCCGTGTGCTGAGATTACAGGCATGAGCCACTGCGCTCAGCTAAAGGCAGACATGTTTTTCTATTCATAAAACTAGTACTATACCTTGTGAGTTACTGTCCTGAGTAAGAACTCAGAATCAAATAAATCATACCTATACCCAACAACCTTAAAAACAAAAATAGCTATAAAACAATATAATAGTAACATTTTGTTCCAAGTGCTAAAATCCAGGCACAGGTGTACTATATAAGCACACTGATTTCCAAGAGCCCCAGTTTATCACCAAGTCTATACTGCAGAGCTTGTCCTCTGAGTTATCCAAAGTTCTACCTTAACAAATATTACCAGTTCTAACAGTAGTCATGATTTTGCTGACATACTTACCACTTGTAAGAATTTGAGGGGGAATTATTTGGATGGCCCAAGATAATTGTGACAAACCTAGACACTGAGGTTTAAACTGATGTCTTAGTTTTCTTTCAATAAACTTAGTGCCAGATGGAGGTATCTTTAATCACCCACTCCACTCACCTCAAAGGTAAGCTCTTCAAAAGCAGCCTATAGTTATACTGTGCTCCTACCAAATCATGCTTCTGGAAGCCAAATAAGTGAATCCAGAAAGTGAAAATCAAACATAACATGTTTCACATAATAAATAGTGGCAAAGTTCAGGGCAGAAATGTGGGAGCAGCCATTGAGCGCCACAGCTACTAATACAGAATATTTGGTCAAATCCTCTGTCTAGATCCCCATTGAGTAGCTATGGGCGATAATGACAGACAATTCCAGAATCTCATCATGTAGTGCACGGCAAGTACAGAAAGAAACACAAGGGACCAGGAAGCCTCAGGGAAATCTGAAGGCAGTCACTGCCTAACATGGAAGGGCTCACAAAACAGGCTTCCTCCAGAGGTTCCTTTAAGCACAGTAAAATTTCCCAGAACTTGAACCTGTAACTCCACAGTCTGAGACAAGAATTTCCTCTACTCCTTTCAAGTATAAATGAGGTAAGAGAACTCTTTTTTTGATGATAGTATGATGTTCCTTTTACCCAAGATAAACAAACAGTCACATGGCCAAATTCAGCAGAGAGAGGAGGGTCGAGGTCAGGCCCTGGTCTGCCCCCATGCTCACCTGGTGGATAACATAGATGCCATAATCTAGCTGCTGCCTCTGCAGGAAGGGATGCAGATGTTCCAGCAGGTACATCAGGTGTTTCTCTCTGTTCCGGTGGGGAACAAGGATGGCGACCCTCTGTAAAGCTTTACATTCCTCAGGGCGATACCGGCCTCTGGACACTTTGGGATTTTCTGCCTGTACCTCTTCCAAAGTAAGATCTGGTTTGAAAATGAGCTTGCTCTGGCCTCCTACAATGAACAAAGGACACACACAATAACGGTAGCTACTTCAAAAGGTGTTGAGGTTTACACAAGCTAATATGCATAGACTATCGCCCAGCTCACAGTGGGCGCTACAAACGTCAGCTTTTATTATGATTACTGTAAAGGGTCATTTAGTCATGATGATAGCCAGAGGATCATGTGACTAAGGTTACTGGCTGCAAAAGCAAGTGGCGGATATATAATATGAGCATTTCCCTGTGGCTGGGTATTCAAAAGTCTTCTATGATTCATCTGTAAGAAGGATATGTAGACTGTCCTGGTGAACCCTGGTAAGAACAAAGGTCAAAGCTAGACAGAGTAACTCTTGAAATTTGGTCTGTCCTCTTTTCCTTCTCCAAATTCCAGGAGGAGGGGAAAATCTCTTAAATATCAACAGCATTCCACAGAATCAAGCTCCTGGACAACGCAGTCCTCCCACTCCTTCCCTAAACTCTGGAACTATCCTGACTCCCTATAGGTAAAGCACTAAAAAGAAGTGGAAACTAGTCTCACTCCCTGACCCAGCTGTAACAGGTACTTGTGGCCCTGCAACAACTCACCCATTTTGCCTCCACAACAGACATTTCCAATCAAGCACAGCATTTGCTCAGTGTGTCTGGAAGCAATCCAACCAAAGCCCAAAGCCATCCACAGGAGGAAACAGCTCAATTTGGTTTTTGTTTTTGTTTTCTAAATTGCACATATACTGGTCAGACTGTAAAATCTCAAGATGTTTGCAAGGTGCACTATCCCCTTCTGAGCAAAGCAGTCATACGCCCTTCCTGTGCATAATTCATTGCACATAATTTGCCATGCCTTGCTTAATGTGACCATCCGCTAACCTGGCCATGGCTGCTCAGATCAGGCTCACATGTCTAAGGACACCTTGGTGCTCTGCCCAACAGGAGGCAAGGTTAGCTACTTCTTCAAGCCACCCAAAGAGAATAATTGGCCTACAAGAGACTTCCTGAAGGGTCTGCATGCAAGACACAACAATCAGTAATGCCCTAAAAACCAACAGTAAGGAATGGAGGTACACAGAAGACAACTGTGAGAGCTGATGCTAGGCTACTGAGCTACTAGAGATAATGGGGTAGCTGTTGAGATGGTCTCCTGTGTGGCCTGTTCATAATGCCCATCATTAACCTGACTGCGTCTCTGTTCTTGCACCCTGAAAGAGCCTCATGCAACAGTTCTGATATAAACTAGTCTCCTGGCTCACCTTCTCATCGTCATAACTTTTTACATGCCCTAACCTAGTTTCTGCTTCCATTTACTCTCTATCAAGTCTCCCTACCCCTTCCTCTATCCCAACATCTTCTCAAGTTCTGCCCGTCTTTGGGTCACTAATGGCCAATTTTAAGTCATCACCAACCACATCACCTGTAGTCCAGTATTTGCCCAGTAATGAGTCACTGTCCATCTATTCTTTATGAATGAATTTACCGTTTAAATATATTGTGAACATTTTAAGCAAGGGGAATAATCAGCCATATTTGCATTTTACTGACTCATTTTCATATCTCAACTTGTATAATGTATGAAGGAACACACAATCAGGAATAACATTTTGGCTTTTCTGTAACTGACTAAAGAGAAGCAGCATGCCAATATGAATATGGTACAGGACTGTGACTCAACTAGGAAAGGGGTGTGCAGACTAAAGGTTTGTGTCCCCCCAAAATTCATATGTTGAATCCCTAATCCCCACTGTGAGACCTTTGGGAAGTAACTAAGTTTAGTTGAGTTCATCATAGGGGTGGAGCTGCCATGTGGGATTAAAGCCCTTACAAATAGAGCAAGAGGAATGAGATCTATCTATCTCTTTCTCTCTCCTTCTTTCTTTCGCTTTCCTTCTGTGTGTACGTGTGTGGGCACACACACCAGGGAAAGGCCATGTGAGGACACACCCAGTAAGAGGGCCCTCACCAAGAAACTGACCGTGCTAGCACCTTGATCTTAGACTAATTTACTGTTTAAGTTGAGACGCAAGACATAAAAGGTGAATCAAAATATACATCATATTTAAGAAATAAACACTAAAGACCACATCAAAAAATTTACTTAGGGCCGGGCGCGGTGGCTCAAGCCTGTAATCCCAGCACTTTGGGAGGCCGAGGCGGGTGGATCACGAGGTCAAGAGATCGAGACCATCCTGGTCAACTCGGTGAAACCCCGTCTCTACTAAAAATACAAAACATTAGCTGGGCATGGTGGTGCGTGCCTGTAATCCCAGTTACTCAGGAAGCTGAGGCAGGAGAATTGCCTGAACCCGGGAGGCAGAGATTGCGGTGAGCCGAGATCGCGCCATTGCACTCCAGCCTGGGTAACGAGCGAAATTCTGTCCCCCCAAAAAAAAAAAAAAAAAATTTACTTAGTCTCTGTCCCTTGAATCCATGGTTTTGGCCAAAGGAATATAACAGATGTGACCCCAGCGGAGGCTAGAACATGCTTGCATTTCTCCTCTCAAGCTCTTGTGCTCTGCTGATACAGGATAGCCCACTAGTTTCAAGAGGAGGACAAGAGGCACATGGGGAGGGGACACCAGCCTAGATCACTGGACCCTATTAATGATGTCTGCTGCTGAGAACTTTTGTGGCTGGATAGTAAAAGTGGGTCCGTTCATATGACGGAGTACTATACGTCCATGAAAATGGACAAACCATAGCCACATGCAACCATGAGAATAGATCTCACAAAAATAATGTTGAGTAACAGAAGCCAAACACAAGAGTATAAAACATACGCTTCCAACCTGTAAGATTCAAAAACAGGAAAAATCTAATGTGTAGAGTTAGAATCTTGAAGCCAAAGTGGTGACTGAAAGAAGTATGGGAATTCCTATGGTTCCAGCAAGATGCCATTGCTTTTTTTCTTTCTTTTTTTTTTTCTTCTGTGCTACATGAAGCATTTGTAACTTCTTTTTATATACTTTAAATTCTGGGGTACATGTGCAGAATGTGCAGGTTTGTTACATAGGTATACACATGCCATGGTGGTTTGCTGCATCCATTGCCCCGTCACCTACATTAAATTTACATGCTAGACAACTACGTTCATTTTCTGAAAATTAACCAAGCAGTACACTTCCGAGTTTTGTACTTTCTTGTACATGTAACATTTATTTTATTTGAATTTATAGTTTCTGTGACACAGGAGATGTATACATTTATGGGGTACATGTTATATTTAAATAAAAACTTTATATACTACTTACATAAGAGAAAAAAGGGAACACTTACTGAGGTAAGGAGACACAGAAGGGCAGTTGTCAAGTTCTGTCTTCCTCGTGGATGCTTCATTAGTCACAGTTTTTCCCTTCCCCAAAATGATGGCCTTATGGATATTGGCCATGAGCTTCTTTGCCTTAGGAATCTCTTGAATGGCACCCACGAAGTAGTTACTGGTGGCCCACCCAACCACCGTCAGGCACAAAGTCAAAAGCAGCAGTAATCGGAATTTGTAGGAAAGGTGAAAAGTCGGGTTGAAGCCCATGTTTTTTATTACATGAATAATATGTATCACTCTGCTTCACTGCAGGCAAGAAAGCTTCAAGTTGAACTTTTCCAATCTGATCCCGAACTTGATGACAACTGAAAATACAATGCCTGCTTTTGCTGGTAGTTCTGCTCCAACAATCTAAAAGGCAATCACAAAAGACACATTGTTTCAAATGGAAATTCTATCCTGAAATAATTCACTTCGGCACAAACTGAAAACCCATACCCGATTGGACCTTGACTAACCCTAACGGTAGGTCTCCCACTAAGTGTTTAGAGGTCCGAAAACCAGACGTTTTAGAGGTTCCAAGCATCAATACATCACAGAAGCTCCCTCTAGGTTATTGGCCAGGCTGTCTGTCACCCAAGAAGGGAAGCCATTTCCAGACGTTAGACAGAACAAATAGGCAAGGGAGACTGCAAATGCCCTGAGATGTCAGCTGGGCACAGCCTAAGACACAGCCCTAATGGTTCTCTGCCTCAGTTGCCCCTTCCTGGCACAGCTTTAAGGGAGGATTTTTAAAATGTGAAACCTTGTTACAGCAGCACATTTTGACCCAAAGAGAAAATAAGGGAAAAGTTCTTCTCCCTGTGAGAGCTAGAAAAGCATGGTCCTCAACAACAGGGAATGAGTGCTGTATTAACCAAGAGGCACTGGCACAGGCACACTGCAATGGCGGGCAGGAGGGAGTCTGTCAAGAAACACAAGAGAATCCCTAAACAGAAGGTTAACGAAAGGTCAACTATCTATCTATACGAATAACAGAACTACGGCACAATGTTTAAGATCAGGAGTTTGGATTTAGACAGAAACTATAGCTCTACCACGTAACAGCTACATAACCTCGGGCCAGTCATTTAACTAAGCCTCAGTTTTCTTATCTGTAAAATGGGGATAAAATTAGTATATACCTAGAAAAGTTATTGTGGGGCTTAGATGACCTAATTTATTACTATATAAAGTGTTATCCCACCTTTACAAACAAGCAAACACACTGAAACACCACTTTCTGTACTGTATTTCTGTCAGTTGATCAATTGCCACTCTGATTTCATACTTCAGTAGCATGAGATGGGATAATATGAATTCACTTCTAAGAGGTGGCTATGCTCTTAATTACTGACAAAAATCATGTTAAGACCACCCAGCTGAGGGCCCACTCTGAACCATGGAAAATACACTAAAGTGGTGAGTGCTACTTGACAAGGATTCCTGGGTTGCTGCCAGCAACACCTGCTAGCCACATCCTCTCCATGTGGCCAAAAACACATCTCTCCTCTAATTCTAAACATGTTCTCTGAAGAACACAGAAAATGCTAAAGCCAGGGCACAGATAATCTACAAAGACAAACATATTCCCAATTAAACAAATAAAATAGAGACCAAAATATCTTCTATGCTAAATAATCACATGGAAACACTTATGATTAAATCTTAAATGACAAAAAGAAAAACAGAAAGCAAACCCAATATCTGTGCAATGATTACAACTAAAGATATACAATAAGGAAAGTCTAGAAAGAAATACACTCAAAAGTTAATAATAATATTAGGAGAATGGGATTCACTAGGGATGGCTTTTTCTCTTTTTAGAATTTTTAATAACTATAGTTTTATATTATGTATACATTTTTGTATATTAGTGTCATATTTACATGTATTTTACATATATCATTTTATAATATAGTACTCTTAAAATGAAAACAAAGTGAATTTTTTTTTAATGATGAATAGAGAGGCAGTAAGTAACTGTAAAAAACAACCATTACCTCAGAAACTCTCAGGATAGTTTCACACTTACTAAAGGAGAGAATTCCAAAAATTTAGTCACAGGTTGGTTTGAAGGAAACCTAGAAAATATTTCTGTGTAAACACAATGCCATTAATGAAAAGGGAAGTTAAGTTCTTGGGGAATGTTGGACCCAGAAAGCAATTAAACAGTATGGCCTGTGTTCAGTGTCCTGTGAGGGTATCACAGGAAGTCAATGCCGAAGGCAGTAATAATAACTCATAAAAAAGGCAATTTATGCATGCATTTACTCTGTGCCATGCACTGGGGTAAAATCACTTGTATTAACCTACTTAACTCTCATTTAACCACATGAAGTAAGAATTACTAGCCTCCTCATCAAATAGGTAAGAAAAGGAAAGGAAGGTTTGGAGAGATTAAGTACCCTGCCAAAGCCCACATGACTAGTAAGTGTTAGCATGGGGTCTCAGCCCAGGGGGTCAGCTCCATATCCTTCCAATGGATGTTTCCTCTTTTCTCCCCTTGGTGCCTGGGTAGGACCAACACAAACCCTTGAATATTCAGGTTCCTTTGGGGGCCTTCTACGTCTCTCGCACATTTGCCCCCCTTTTCTTTGGGACTGTCTGATCAAATGCCTTCCTGGAGGTCTGTTCCCTTCCCTCCGGGTGACAGTAAGTCATCAAGTCCTGGGGCCAGTCAGACAACCTCTTGTGGACTTAATTGTAGGAGGCTTAAATACTCTCACTATGTTGGCCAGGCTGGTCTTGAACTCCTGAACTTGTGATCCGCCCGCCTCGGCCTCCCAAACTGCTGGGGTTACAGGCATGATGAGCCACCACACCCAACAGGATTGGTAATTTTTAAAATAAAGATCTTGATCTTAGAAAATTCAGACTGGGAACACTGCTTTTCTATTTTTATTTTTTGAGACAGGGTCTTGCTCTGTTGCCCAGGCTAGAGTACTGTGGCACAATCTCAGCTCACTGCAACCTATACCTCCTGGGTTCAAGCAATTCTAGTGCCTCAGCCTCCCAAGTAGCTGGCATTGCAGGCGTGCACCACCACAACTGGCTAATTTTTGAATTTTTAGGAGAGCCTAGGTTTCACCATGTTGGCCAGGCTGGTCTTGAACTCCTGGCCTCAAGTGATCCCTCCATCTCAGCCTCTCAAAGTTCTGGAATCACAGGTCTGAGCCACTGCACTCAGCCCTGTGAACACTGCTTTTCTATTTTTAGAAGGAGAGTCCCCTAAAAGAGAGAATTGTCGAGTGGAAAGAAGTTATGACCATAAAATTATTGCAGTGTTGAAACCAGAAAAGACCTTGGAGACCACACATCCACCTCCCTCATTCTACAGAGGAGGAAGAGATTTTAAAACCTACCCAAGGGAGGGGGTACATAGGAAATCTTTGTATCTTCTGCTCAGTTTGGTTGTGAGTCTAAAACCACCCTAAAAATACAGCTGAACCTTGAATAACATGGGTTTGAACTGCACGGCTCCACTTATACTCAGATTTTTTTTTAACCAAATGTGGACCAAAAATATAATATTCCCAAGATGCAAAACCTGTGTATACAGAGGGCCACTTTTCTAATACGTGGGTTCCTCAGGGCTGACTACAGAACTTAGGCATACATAGATTTGGATAGATACAGGGTTCCTGGAGCCAATTTCTTCCGTATACTGAGGGACAACTATAATTAAAAAAAAAAAAAAAAAAAAAAAAAACCTACCCAAGAAGGAAACAGCTGTGAATAATCATAAACTAATATTGCTCAACTGCAGCTTATAGGGTTTGTTCAAAGATAAAACATTTATTCTAAAAGCAAGGAACCATTATTAATAATTACTTATTAGGCCTTCATTACTAATCCTGCTTTTGAGACAACAGCTGACCCAATTAAAAACAATTACTTAGCTATCTTTCTAAGTCTAAGTGTTCTCTCCAAAACTGTACAGAGAGCCAGCATAAGGAAGTTCAGCAGTAAGGTTTCCTTGGCTCCTGCGAGTAAACATCTGAAGTGTGAAGGGTCTGTCATCTGTCTGTCCATCTATTTTTCAAGAGAGACTAGCCAAGTGACTGGAGGCCACCCCTGTCAGTGTGTTTCCAGCTATAAAATGATGAAAAATGCTTATCTCACAAAGTTGCTCTAAGAATTTAATAAGATGATGTACCCAAGCACACTGGTATAACTGGTACATTTCCAAGACACAAGTTTTTGTTTTGTTTTTGAGATGGAATCTCCCTCTGTTGGCCTGGTTGGAGAGCAGTGGCATGATCTCAGCTCACTGTAACCTCCATGTCCCAGGCTCAAGTGATTGTCCTGCCTCAGCCTCCCCAGTAGCTGGGATTACAGGCGTACACCACCACACCCAGCTAATTTTTGTATTTTTAGTAGAGATGGGGTTTCACCTTGTTGGCCAGGCTGGTCTCAACCTCCTGATCTCAAATGATCCACCTGCCTCAGCCTTCCAAAGTGCTGGGATTACAGGCATAAGCCACCATGCCCAGCCAGGAACACAGGTATTTATTGGCTCTAATTACCAATGTGATTCATGTTCAACTGTTATCAGAGTATCGGCCAAGTTAATGTTATCTCTGGAATTAATGAGATAATTTGTACTTTCTAACTCTGTAATTTCCATTTGTACTTTCTAACTCTGTAATTTCCATTTTTCTTTTAATGAGTATATAATATTTTTATAATTAGAAAAACATAATGACTTTTTTTTTAAAGTTATTTTTAGGGCAAATAACTCCTGGCTGGTGTTTGGGAAAATGCCGTTATATCGGATTTGTTTTCTTACACAAACATTTAAGTAACTGAGAGACCCTCAATTCTCACCACAGTCTCAGAGTTATGTTCTTTTTCAGTCAAGGCTGTCTTGAAGTGGCAGGCCAGCTTTGACTGAAAACAAATGCAGGCAACATGAAAAAAGTTATTTAGGGCAAGATTTACCACTCTTTTCCTTTCTAGAAGTCTGCCCTGTAGTTAGTTAAAAATGATCATGTTTTCATATTTGCTTTTCCTCTACTCCATTCAACCAGTCTTTTCTGAGTACCTGCTATTTTCAAGCAAAGGGAATAGGATATAAAGAGAATTAAAGCCTAGTCTTTGTGCTCAGAGTTTATTTCTATCTTTTTCTAGATTTCAATCTCTGCAATTTCCTGTCAAATATGCCAACAACTCCAGCCCAAAGTGGGAGAAGAGATTCAACAAGATGGGTAAAATACTGAGAAGTCTTAAAGATAGGTGATAGGTACCTGAGAGTCCATTTTCTTTCTCTCTACTTTTGCGTATGCTTGAAATTTTCCATAATAATTTTTTGAATCTGGCAAGGAAGATGAGCTATAACAAAAAGTAAGGCAGCGTAAGTGCTACATATCATTCTTGGAGAATCTCTAACCACACACATTTTTATTCCACCAAAGTGGGTGGGGAGGACACCGTGTATCACTTTATAAATATTTACTAAGGATCTGCACCAAAGAGAAAGGGTACGTTCATTCAGCAGCTAAGAGCACCAAAACCGGCATTACAATGTCTCTGAACCTATCAGGTAATTTTGCAGACATGTAAAACTGCATGTAAGTGCACTTGATACTGTACCAGGCACATGATCCTGATGCCTTGGGGCTCCCTGGAGCAGCACCAGAAGACAGACTGATTATTTTGCTACTCTTTTTACTCCTGCAGCGTTCCTAGGAGTTTACCTTTTGCATACACATTGTCCCACCTTCCTTAGGACTTGGTATTCATCATCCCAATCACAGCTCCTTTAGGAGGCTTCTGAATGATCACTGGCCAGATCCTAATGGGGCAATGGTTCCCCGGGCAGGGTAAGGAATGGGATAAAAATGATGACAGCCATTTACATGTACAAATCATTTAAACCCAAAGATTAAGCTTCTAATGGCCCAACCTAGAAGCATTTGAGTAATTAAAAAAATAATGATGGTACTGTATTTTAACCCATAGGATAAAATGAATATCCACTATATTGATAAAAATGATCAAACAAATAAATGAATGGAAGAGAAGGGGCAGCTCTTTTCTTACAGTAATTTCCAACTAGCAAGAAAGTGGGAGCTGGGAAAAAAATCACCCTCGGCAACCACCGCAGTAAGAACCGTTGCAGACAAGGTCCACCAATGGATGCTAAACAGGCAAAAATTTGAAGATAAACAGGATAGTCTCAAAGTATCTCACCCAAGATAATTCTTAACCACAAAGGGAAAGACAGTAACTTGGTAGTGGAGAAACCCAGCAGCTCACCATAATATCACTTGTGTGGTATTCGTGCTAATGGCGCATAGCTTCATTAGAAGCATGAGAAAACATCGGACAAGTTCATTCTACAATCTACCTAACTGGTACTCTTCGAAAGAATCAAAATCACGAAAAACGAGGAAAAACTGAGTAACTATTTCAGACTGGAGGAGACTAAGGAGAAAGAAAAACTAAATAAAATGCAGGATCCTTAATAAAATACAGTGGGAACAGAAAACAAAAGGACATTAGTAGGAAAATTGATGAACTTTAAATAAAGTTTGTAGTTTAGTTAATATTATTTATCAATGTACTATGGTTACATAAGGGGTATTATTAAGGGAAGCTAGGTGAACTCTCTGTACCACTTTTACAACTTCTCTATAAGTCTAAAATTAACTAAAAATAAAAGAGTCGGAGACTAGATATAACCCAAGTCAACAAATGACACTAAATTAACTTTATTCTAAAGGAGAATCATTGTTTTTGTATTCCTAGTGCCTCAAACCAACATGACACATACCAGGTGCTCAATTCAGTAACGAATGACAGACTAGGATATATACTAGTTGAAATACATAAGGACACATCACAATTCCAGGCTCTTGCTAAACGGAATGAGACATAAAAAAAGAAAGGGGGGAAATAAAGATTAATAAAATTAAATGACTACAAAATTTCATCTGAGAAGGATTTAAAAAATTTAAAAGGCACACCCTGACACTAGCTCCTTTCACTAATATCAACACTCTTCTACAGGAAGGGACCTCACCCTTAATAAATGGCACTTTGCCTACTACCTTCCGCTCCCTTACTTCTAAAAGTGATACTTCTCCTTGGTTTGGGTAGGAAGTGCTGTACAGCCTGCCCCTGCCTTCATGAAGCCACTCACTGCATGAGCTCTGCCGCCCACCGGAACACAGTGTACCTGCCTCTGGGCAAATGCTGTGGAAATCCACATTTGAAGCCAGGTGGTCCTGCAAAACCCAAACGACCAAAGTTATTTTATGTAGTACATGTTATGCAGCATAATACAGAATTCACCAGAATTTCTGATGGGAGGTTTCAATAGAAGTTCATTGTGTACTTATATGTTACTTTCAGCTATCCCTAAGAAATCAACTGTGGAGTCAGTAGGAGCTTACTTTCTGCAGCCATTAGGGGCACCTCACCCTAAATCTTCTTAAAAAGGTTTAAAAAGCTCTGAGATCATGGGTATAACAGGGCTCTGAAGTCACAAAGAGCTGAGTTCAAATTCTTCTTACCAGATGCATGAATGGCTTTTGACAAGTAACTTAAATGTTTTGAATCTGTTTGGCCATTTACTTAAAAAGCACTTTTCAACATCTGGTTCCAGGAGTGCCTTTATCAAATACATAAGGGAATATGTTAAAACTGCAGATTCCTGGGCCCCACTCCAAAGCCAACAGGTCAGAACAGCAGCCACTGGGGCTCAGAAAAATGAAATTTTAACAAGCTCCACAAATGATTCTTATCTGCATTAAAATTTCAGAACCACTGACATAAGAGAATAGACCTGGAATGCAATATAGATCTTTCAGATATGTTAATTTTCCCTCTGGTGAAGAAAAGCAGTAAGAAGATACGTGAACATGAGATTTTAAAAATGCATTTGAAAGGTTTTTTATTCCATCATTTAGAAATATATTCTAAGAAAACAATCAATGCCAAGCGAGGTGGCTCATGCCTGTAATCCCAGCACTTTGGCGGGCAGATCACCTGAGGTCAGGAGTTCAAGACCGGCCTGGCCAACATGGTGAAACCCCATCTCTACTACAAATACCAAAATTAGCCGGGCATGGCAGTGCGCTACTCGGGAGGCTGAGGCAGGAGAATCACTTGAACCCAGGAAGCAGAGGTTGCAGTGAGCTGAGATTGCACCACTGAACTCCAGCCTGGGTGGCAGAGTGAGACCCTGAAGGAAGGAAGGAAGGAAGGAAGGAAATAATCAGAGAGGTAGACCATGACATTCAAACAAATGTTGCTAAAATAACCAAAAATTGAAGAGTACAAATGTTAACGATAGGGGTCTGATTTAATTAATTACAATACATCCACATAATGGGACATACACTTTTATTAAAATGGTGTTTAAAAAACTTACATGGAAAAGTGTAATAGTTAAGTAGAAAAAGATATAACGTAAGTGTAGGGGAAGAGAAATACCTTTCCTTCCCATCTTAGGTTCACAGGGCTGAGGCCCTTATAACAACAAAAGACAATATAGGCTGGGCGTGATAGCTCACACCTGTAATCCCAGCACTTTAGTTGCCCAAGGCAGGCAGATCACTCAAGGCCAGGAGTTTGAGAGACCAGCCTGGCCAACATGTTGAAACCCCTTCTATACTAAAAGTACAAAAAGTAGTTGGGCATGGCGGCCCACATCTGTAGTCCCAGCTACTTGGAAGGCTGAGGAAGGAGGATCACTTGAACCTGGGAGGCGGAGGCTGCAGTGAGCCGAGATCACACCACTGCACACCAGTGTGGGCATTAGAGACAGACCCTGTCTCAAAAAAAACAAAAAAGATCGTATAACATATAATACCAAATTATGAAATATATGTGTGTGTGCATGCCTTTCATATACAAAATGACAGAGAAACTGGTGGTCATCTCTTAATTATAGAATTAGGGAAAACCTTTTATTTCTTTTGTATCTTCTAATTTTTCTAAAATGGAGTTTTCATCATCAGAAACAATGCTGTTTTCTGACAAAATGACTACATAGTTTTCCTTTAAAATACAGTAGTCCTTGGTTTCACTTTCTGCAGTTTAACCACAATAAGACACAGTAAGATATTTTGAGAAAGAGATGACATTCACATAACTTTTATCACAGCATATTGTAATAGCTGTTCTATTATTAGACATTATTCATCTCTTACTGTGCCTAATTTATAAGTATTACAGATATAGAGAGAGAGGAAAAAAAAACAGCATATATAGGGTTTGGCACCATCCATGGTTTCAGGCATCTACTTTTGGTCTTGCAGCATATCCCCCAAAAGTAAAGGAGACAACCGTATATTAAAATTTAAAGATAGCATCACAGACAGGTATCACAACTTTTAGTTACATAAAGTTTGACGATTCATTCATATAATCTTTAAGAAAACCTATTCCAAATAGGCCCAACAAGCCCCAATCTCAAAGAAAAACCAGAGGCTGTTAGTAATTCTTCAGTGCCAGAGAACCCTGTGGTCTCTGTCTGAAATGCCTATTCCCAGGCTCCAGACCCAGAGATTTTTATTTCAAAGGGCTGAGGTGGGGTCAGGAAATCAATATTTTTGCCTGGGCCTGTCACTCACGCCTGTAATCCCAGCACTTTGGGAGGCCAAAGCAAATGGATCACTTGGGGTCAGGAGTTTCAGACCCCAAGCCTGGTCAACACGGTGAAACCCCTTCTCTACTAAAAATACAAAAATTAGCCAGGAGTGGTGGGCCTGTAGTCCCAGCTACTCAGGAGGCTGAGGTAGGAGAATTGCTTGAACCTGGAAGGCATAGGTTGCAGTGAATCAAGATTGTACCACTGCACTACAGCCTGGGCGACAGAGCTAGACTCTGTTTCAAAAAAAAAAAAAAAATACGTATTTTTAATAGGAGCCTAGGTAACTCTGAGATATGCAGCCAGGTTTGAGAGACCACTGCTGTTCATTGATGGCTTAAAACAAATAGAAAACCACCACTGACTTGTTTTGGATGTTTCCACTGAATAAAAGATCTTCAAAGAGATGGTTAGTTCACAAATCATGTGCATGCATCTCTGGAAAAGGCACGCATTACTGCTAGCTCAGCTTAAAGTAGACACTAAATACTTATTATATTAAGAGGTATATAAACTATAACCACCGAGCTGATTTTATTGCCCTCTCTATCCATTTCCCCTTAGATTACGTAGTCAAACAGTTCAATTCAGATCAGTACTTCTTCACAACAGATGTTTTTAATCTAATCAAAGATCTAGGTACTC